TATTTACTGTGACAATGAGACCAGTATTGCCTTGGCTAGAAAGCCAATAATACATCAAAGATCAAAGCATATTGATATTAAATATCAATTTGTAAGGGATCTAGTACAAAAGAAAACAGTACAAATTGAATATGTTCAATCGGAAAATAACTTATATAATTTATTTACAAAGCCAATTACAAAATTGAAATTAGGGGCTTTCATTCCTGTCATATTTGGTACTGACCTATAAGATCCTTATTATTCCTGGGTAGGACGTAAAACTGCATCCATTAGTTATTGTCTTAAAGACGTCAGTTTTTGGTATGCATGTAAATCTTTAGTTTCACGGTATAAACGTAAATAGTCCTACTTTTAGCCCAATCCTCCTCCTGAATGACTCTCAGAATCATTCTGACCCGGAGTGACGGTGACTGTTTTAATGGGTCCCAGTTATGGGTAAAATAATTTTTTCCACTTTTTTGTTGTGATCACAACCCAAATTTATAATATTGTTGTTAATGTTTATTAACCTGAAGTACTTAACAATAGACAAAATGATATAACTAATTTTTGTGGATATTAATTTTCTTCAAGAAAAAAAATATTTTGTGAATATTTAAAAAAAGTTACTTATTTTATGAATACTAAAAAAAATTGTTATATGAATGCTAAAAAAGATTTTCTGAATACTAAAGTATTTGTTCCATATGAATATTGACTTTACTAATATTTTGAAAGAAGATTCCATAATGTACCCAAAATGGGGGAGTTGTTAGAATTTTTGGGTACTATGTACTAGTGAGCCAGTCAAAATAAGCTGACTCATTTTTATAGTTCACCAATAGAAGGGTTAACCAATCAGAAAACTCAAAATATTTAATCCGACGTGTATAAAGGCGGCCATTTTGTTTTTTTCTCCCAAACTATCATCACTGCCAAGCTGCTCGGCCCGGGGGCAATGATCAAAGTGTAGTACGCTGCCTTTGTGAGCTTCCGAGTCGGCGTCTGTCGAACTCTCTGCATTAGCAGAGAGGAACCCGGACGAAGCTTTGGCGAAGGGCAAGGTTTCGTTCGGGGAGGTAGACAGGGCCTGAATCCGTCAAGGCGGGTTCAAAAAGGCTATATTTTTGGCCGAGCCTACGGGCTCGGGGATACCCACATTAAACCGGCCTTGTGCCACATTGTATCCTCGTGGGTGGATTGATAAATACTAAACTATCTTCACTGCCAACCTGATATCGATGACTTAAACAATTACTTAACAGTTGCTACTTTCGCCGAATCTTCACTGCCAACCTCTGATATTGAACACATTACGGACTTCACTGGATTCTATATTCAGAGACTACGGCAAACATGGTCAACAATAGCTAGCAAGCTTTTCTCGCTAGAACACTTACGACTGAGTAGTGAGTTCGATCATCACATCTAAGCTGCGCTTGGAAAATCACTATCTATATATCTATATGAATATATGTATAGATATTTATCTGTTTGTTCTATATTTACTTATCTCTATGTATGTATATCTAATTATCTGCATTCAAGTATATCTATTTAATTGTATGCATGTATATCCACCTAACTGCATGTATGTATATATGTCTGTTCTTTTTCATCTGTATTTATCTTTTTATCACATCTATATCTCAGCCATTTAATTTCTATCTAACTACGCATATATCTAGTTTTTTCTATCTATAAATTTTAAATTTATATCTATCTTTTCATTTCTATCTATCTAAAAACATTTGCCAGAATGTATCTTACATATTTATAAGTCTTCTAGTCGTCGTTGCTTCGACTGTTACGACCACAGCTGGTCTGGTGCTACTGCTATATATTTGGAGATTCTTGATAAAATCTAAAGAATCTTATTGATCCAAAGAAGAATGTTATTGTTCATGACGTGGCATCACATCTTCAGTCACTTTCCTACCGCCGTAACATAGTTTTCCAATGACATTTCTATAGATACGTTCATAGTTATTGTTCTGATGAACTGTCCTCTGTTACCTAGATTTTATGAAATTTAGAACATTACTAGATTGGCGGCAAGATCTCATTATTTTACAGTTAAAATGCTTAAATATAATCGTAAATTCTATGCTATATATCTGTCCTTAACCCCTCTCTCTCTGTCTGCCTGTCTTTCTCTCCATCTTTATATATATATATATATATATATATATATATATATATATATATATATATATAGTCATTCACAGACAAATTGTTTCGCTGTATCACAGCTCACAGCTCATCAGTGTGGATAGATGACCGGTTGCCTCTAGCTCCAATCGAAACCCGGCTGAATTGACGTCAGTCAGAGAATCTACTCCTAAGCTGGTGGCAAGTATATAGATGAATTTAAGCGTATTTATTATTGGATAAACACGCTAGTGACCAGTGACTAGAGAACTCGATTCGCATTATCGCGTATATTGCATATATATATATATATATATATATATATATATATATATATATATATATATGGTTATTGTATATATATATATATATATATTAAAAAGAAGAGAGAGACCGCAAACGTTTTCGCTTGTCATGAAGATTTCTTTTTAAAATATGTATTATGATTTATTTTTTCATAATCTTGCAACACTTGTTTCGGATTTCGCGAACATCTTCAGGCAATGAGTGGATACTTCGACATATTATTGACATGACTTAATTTTGCTTATGTTTTTTCGATGTTAAACATTCTCGATGTTAAACATTCTCTTTTTTGTGTGGTAGTGATACAAATATCTTTCTTGCACTGATAGTGAGAAAGTCCTTCTGCTTGAAGGGTAACAAAGCAATAAAGATTGGTCCGAGAAAGCGTGAGGAAAGATATCTGTATTATTATCTTTTAATGAACCCTGTGTTGACTTAGAACTATTTCAACTATGACTATGTATATGTATATTCCCTCTCTATACATACATACTGTCTTATTACAAGAAATTAGTATACGCATATATACATGCATACACACATACAACCCCTATATATATATATATATATATATATATATATATATATATATATATATATATATATATACCTATACGCACACTTCGTTTGTTGTGTAGGGTTCGTCTCCGTGCTTGTGAGTAGTCTATTTGTTTTTGTCAATATGTGTATATAAATTCGTGCTCCACAGTTACACGCGTGTGACTGTGTACGTATGCATATCCATGTATCAACCACTGTATTTGGGCATTATGTGTGCATGTTGTGTGTTTTTGTGTATGGGGTTATGATCTAATTAATGCTGGTTTAAATTTGTTTATGAAATTTTTGTCTTGTATTTGTAGGTAAGGATAATTGTCTGTTTGATATATTGGCATAATTTTAAGTTCACTCTGGTTACATTTATAGATGTGTTGTAATCCAAAAAAATTTCTATTGTCTGGTAATTTGATGTTGCTTTTGTGAAGGGAAACTCTGTTGTTTTGTTTTTGGCTTACACCAATATATGACTTCTTGCGTTTTGTGCATTTGAGTGCATAAATCACATTTTTTGGAGTTCCAGGATAAATATTTGTTTATTGTAGTTTTTGTGTTTTCGAAAGTGTAAGAATTTCCTTCTATAATGATGCCACAAACCCCACATTTTTTGTCGCATTTTATGACTCCCTGTAGTGTGTGTTGGTTAAATTTGGATGGGAGTAATATGTGTTTCAGGTTTTTAGATTGCTTTTAATTATCTAGGTTGTTTTTAGTATATTTTTAATTTGTCATTCTTGCTATGTAGGTCTAGATTTTTTGTAATTTCTGTGAATAATTTTGGATTGTTTTTGTTGTATGTTGAGACATATGCTAGAGTTTGTTACTTTTCTTTAGATTTCATAGTTGGTCTAAAGAATTTTTTGAACTTCAAATCATCTGTATATTAGTGCTGTGTGGTAGCCTCGTTTTTATAGGGTTCTATGTATTTCTTCTCGGTGGGTTTTCGGAGGAGTTTGCCAGTCACTATAGTACAAACCCTACGTGCTAGAGGATAGGGGATGGATTTTAGGCAGCTTTTTGGGTGATGGCTCGTGAAATAAAGATATTGGGTGTCTGTGGTAGATATCTGTGATTATGTGGTTGTTTTTTTTTCTAATGAGTATATCTAAAAATGGTAATTCTTTGAAATTATAACCTTGAGTGAATTTGATTTTGGGGTATAAGTTCTGAAGTAGAGTGCGAAATTGATCAATATCACCCATGAGGATTTCCAGAAAATGAAGTAATCACCTAAGTAACGTTTCCAAGAGTAAGTGAAGTATATTTTTATATTTTCCCCATATATGTGTTCTATTTTTTCATGGAGGTTTTCCTCTAGGTAAGCTAATGTTAGGATGGCAAATGTTGGTACCATTTTTGTCCCCTTTGCGGTACCTAGTGATTGGATATAGTTTTTGTTGTCAAATTCATAAGTGTTATTGTTTAGAATTAGGTCTATACAATAGATAATGAATTCCTTAATGAATCTTGGATGTGGTGTTTCTGGATGTTTTTTTTTCAATCCAGAATGAGATTGATTGTTTACCTAATTCATAAAGGTAGGTTGCTATTTGTGTCACTGCCACACAAAAAGAGAATGTTTAACATCGAATTTCATAATAATGTAGATAATGTAGATAGATAAATAGTCAGATAGATAGATAATGACTTCTTTGGACCGAATTTCGGCCCAAGAAAGATATTTGTGTCACTAGCACACAAAAAGAAAATTCTTAACATCCAGGAAAATTCATTTTAATAATATGTAGGAATATCCACTCTTTGCCAGAAGAAGGTCGCGTGACCTGATACAGGTGTTGCAAATTTATGGAGAATAAAGTATATATTTTTAAAAATCCACATTTCAACCGAAAACGTTTGCGATTTCTCTCTTCTTTTTAATTTTCTCTCGTTAGAACAAATATAACCCCTTCCCTATATATATATATATATATATATATATATATATATATATATATATATATATATACTTTTATATATCTATCTCCGTTATTTAATCATCTATGTCTGTTATCTGTCTACATTATCTATCTATCTATCTATCTATCTATCTATCTATCTATCTATCTATCTATAATCTGTTCCAATCTATCTATCTATCTATCTATCTATCTATCTATCTATCTATCTGTCATACATTTTATGTAGTTGCAAATATGTTAGACAATGTTTCTTTTCTTTTCTGTCTGTATTATCTTTTCCTACCGACTGGCTACAAGAGACACTCTTCCTGAGTTATTTTCTCTGGATGTTCGCGAATATATATTTATTTTGTAAATGCATTCATTCATTAAAGGGAAAAGGTAGAGGTCACGAATATTCAGGTTATGTTCTTGGCGCCATTATTATAAAAAAGATTTTTATTGGATGCCTGCTTTTCATAATCGTTTTGTTCCAGCAGTTCTGAGTTTCTGTGAAACAACCGTTCATTTAACGGCAAACGTCTAACAAGATACCGCGAATCTTTTTCTCTGAAACGCCAAAGCTCATTATGCAAAGGGGTGCTTAAACATTATTGGTACATCCAAAAAACCATTACCACCTCCTTTACTGTGAAGGTGTGGCATTTTGTGGGATTGTCATACGTGCGTGATGCCCAAATATTTTAGCAGCGCTTGAATGTAGAATCCTATCCGTTCAAAAGTATTGAAATCTGTTAAATAATTTACAACTATTTCTACATTAAATTTGTATTGCGTCATTTCTAATAATTGTATTCTATTTTTTTTTTTTTTAAGTTTAATAATTCGTAAAAAAAGCCCTTGGCTTTGACAGGTAAACTGCGACTGAAATTTATTTCTTTTCGTTGAACAAATAAAAGGATCAATTATATGACCAAGTATGGCGGTAGGGTCGCTGTGCTGTTGAAAACCTGACTAGTTCCGTCCATATGCCTCGATTGTGCACCAATATAGGAGTCTCTGTAAATGAACTTACAATTTCACTTAGTGACGTTGTCAACCTATTTTTTTCTTTTTTTATGTATAGGGTGATGCCTTATCGGATGACAGTGGAAATAGGATTCTCTTTTATAACACATCCATACCATTTCCTTTTATTCTACGCGGCGATGGTTTTCCAACGGGCCTGTATCTTGTTTAATGTTTTCCACTGAAATCAAATGAATAGGTAAAAAGAATTTATATTGGTTTATTAATCAAAATATAACCCATTAAAAAATTAACATTAATTTTTTGGGAAATATCTTAAACATTTTCTTCCCTTTTTCTGTTTTGTTATCTTGCAAAAAAAAAAAAAATTCTTCCAGCTGCATGCGCCATATGTCTGTTTTTTTATGCGATTTGCATGTCGGGGACGCTAAAACCAAGCATGTACTGGAGTTTAAATATTTGGAAAGTGTTTTGACGGAGGACGGTAGGTGCGACACTGACATCCAAAGATGGACTGGGATCGCCAAGGATGCATTCCAAAAGCTGTGAGTCAAGAGGATTACTTTGGTGACAAAGAAAAGAGTACTTCGTTGCTACGTGACATCTAGCCCCGTATACGGTGGCGAATATTGGACAATCTCCTCAAAGATGAAGAAGAGACTCGAGGCAGCTGGGATGTGGTTCTACAGAAGGATGCTAAGGACATCATGGGGCGAGCGTGTGGGCAATGTTGAGGTCGTGGAAAGATGCAAATAAAGAGAAAGCTTCTACTTAACATAAGGAAGAGGCAGAAAGCAGGGCCTGGAGAATCCGATACTCACATTTCGTATAAAGGAAAAGAAACAAGAGAAAGTAACGCATGACATACCTGGCGGGCTTAAGGAAGTGAATGGCAGAACGTGAAAGGACATATCACATATAAAGGAAGAAAGATATCAAGTACTACTCAAGGGTGCTTTATTAGTTTTCTGGAACACTATTTTCATTAATTATGAGAATTTTGTAAAGACAATAAATTCAAAAATCAAGTTGCAATATTTGGTGAATAAAGCTGAGTGGAACAAATTTTGTGGTCAGTGCGAATGTTTAGCAAATGAAAGCTGAAAAGATTTGACTAGAAATCATAATGTGCCTTTTCCAGACAAAGTAGTTGACATACATAAAGTCATTTGTATCATATTCTGTTAGCATAAAGCAGGAAAATTTAGTCATATGCAAAATTATCATATCAATTTGAAACAGTATTATATACTAACAATATTTGAGTGGGATACATTGAGAGGTAAGCTTTAAAAATATATATAAAACTAACGACTACTTAATGTGTTTCTCTTCTGTCTGACATCTTTGTGCCATATTTTTTTTTAAAGTTTGTCCGATGAAAATAGCACATCCTTTCAAGGTATAACAGTCTGACAATGATGCTTTGCAATGGTCATACTCAACTTGTCTTCTTTACCTCAGATATGTTCTGTGTGTTTCAGATTATCCAATCCTCTTTCCTCATTTTGTGACCATTATATTTCAATCGTCTCTTTTTTTTTATTTTGAATGGAATTCTTTTTTTGTTTCCATTTTCCTTAAGACTACATTGTCACTTATGTGCTCAACACATGTTGTTGTCAGTTTTCTTCTGTAGAAACACATTTCTCTTGCCTACAATCTTTTCATCTTTGAAGAAATTGTCCTGCATTCATATAAAAATTTTACAGACTCAGTAAAAAAACGAACTCACTTACTGATAGGCAAAACTAAATAGCTCGCTATATGTCTGTCATTTCTTAGGAAAGATAGTCCATTGATTTCGTATTGAATTCTCAAAGTCTGTGAATGCAGATTTCTCCTTGATTGTAACTCACCTAATGCTAGAGGGCCAAAAATAGCTTGTTATTTAACACACGAGCTGTGGATGACGAGGAGTGATAACAGAACTAACTCGTTACTGCTTGGGAGTAGTTAGATGTGTTCATGACTTTCCAGAAGGCAATAGTGCGAAATTATACGGAACACGCTAGGCCGAAATTTGAAATCATTTTGCCGATTTCGTTTTATGCACTGATAACTAATACACTACCACCACATCGCTATTTCATGAATTAGTTTCTCTTTTCGTATATTTTTATTTAATTCGCCTTTTTGTAACGATTTTCACTTTTTTCTTTTTTTTCGTTTGTTGATATGTTATACTTTCTTTCTTTCTCAATTTTTCTTCCATTGTTCCTTTGTTCCTTTCTTTTTTTATTTTGTTTATTCTTCCTTTCTTTATTTACTTATTTAATTCTTGCTTTTCTTTTTTCTTTCTTTCTTTCTTTTTCTTTCATTCTTTCTTTCTTTATTTGTTTCTTTATTTCATTCTCGCTTTTCCCTTTATTTTCTTTCTTTGTTTCTTTATTGCTTCCTTTCTTTCTTTTTCTTTTTTTTTTGCTCGCTTTTCCTTTCTTCCTTCCTCCCGTTCTTTCTTTATTTATTTAATTACTTCATTTTTTTTTTCTTGCTTGCTTTTCCTTTCTTTCTCACGTTTCCTCCCTTACCTGCTATTACTTTCGTCCTTTGTCGCTTTTCCTTTCTTTCATTATTTTTTTCTTTCTTTCTTTTTTCTCATTTTTCTTTATTACTTTCATTTATTCTCACCTTTCCTTTCTTTCTATCTCGCTTTTCCTTTCGTTTTCTTTCTCGCTTTTCATTCTTCATTTATTTCTCGCTTTTTCTTCCTTCATTTCTTCCCTCTCTTTTTCCTTTCTTTCTTGCTTCCTTTCTTTTTTTTCTTTGTTTCCTTTCTTTTCCTTTCTTGCCTTCTTTCGTTCTTCCCTTCTTTCCTTCGTTTTCTCTTCCTTGCTTTTAAATTCTTTCCTATCCCCCTTTCTCTTCTACTTTCGTTCTTACTTTTACTTTAGTCTTTCACGCATTTTCTTTCTTTCATTCTTTCTTTGCTTCTTTACTGCTTTTCCTTTCTTTTTTTTTTCATTCATTATTGCCAGCTTTACGTTTTTTTTTCTTTTTTTCTTTCTTTCATTCTTTCACGGTTTTCTTTCAATTCTTTCTCTCTATTTTCCTTTTATTCATTTCTTTCTTTCTTGCGTTTTCTTTCTTCACTCCTATCTTTCTTTCTTTCTTTTTTTCGTTGTTTCTTTCTCGGTTTTCTTTCTTGCTTTTTATTTCTTCTTTTCTGCTGTGTTGCTTCTTTTCTTTCTTTCTTTCTCTCATTCTTACTTTCCTACTTTTAATTTCTTACTCTTGTTTCCTTTTTCTTTTACTTTGCCTTTCTTCTTGCTTTTTACATTCGTTCTTTTGCTCTTTTACTTTCTTTTTACTTGTTTTCTTTCATTGTCTTCCTTTCTTTTTCTCTTTCTTTTTTCTCGCTTTTGTTTATTTCTGTCTCGCTTTTCCTTTCTTTCTTTCTTTCTTTCTTTCTTTCTTTCTTTCTTTCTTGCTTTCTGGCTTTCCTTTCATTCATTCTTTCTTTCTTCCTTTCTCAAATTTCCTTTCTTTCTTTCTTTCTTTCTTTCTTTTTTTCTTTCTTTTCATTGCTTTCCCATTTTTCCTTCATTTATTTCACGTTTTTGCTTTCTTTCTTTCTTTTCCTTCCTTTCATTCATTCTTTCTTGCTTGCTTTTCGTCAATTTCTTTCACTTTTCTTTCTTTCTTTCTTTGTTGGCTTTCTATCCTTTCATTTTCGCTTTTTCTTTCTTGCATCCTTTTTTCTTACATTCCTTTCTTTCCATGTCGTTGTTTCTTTCTTTTCCCCGTTTTTCTCGCTTTTCCTTTTTCTTCTTTCCCGCTTTTCCTTCCTCCCTTTCTTCATTTCTTTCTTTGTTTCTTTATCGCTTTTCCTTCTTTTCTTTCTTTCTTTTTTTTCTTTCTTTCTTTCTTTTTTGGTTTTCCGTTTTTTCTTTTCCTTTTTCTTTCTTGCTTTCTTTCTCTGTTGTTTTAGTTTCTCTGTCGCTTTCGTTTCTTAATCGCTTTTTGTTCCCCTCTCTCACTTTTTCGTTTCTTTCCCGCTCTTTTCCTTTCTTTGTCTCTCTTGTCCTTTCTTCCTATGTTTTTTACCTACTTTTTTTTCGTTTTCATCGTTTTCTCTGACTAGTCACTATCCGAAATCAGAAATAGTTTATTTTTAGAAATTACAATAAATTTAAAACAAAAAAAAAATCTACAAAATTAGATAAAATATCTGAACTAAAATGTTCAGATCATCAAGACTTCCAGTCGTTGGAATGCGAAAATAATTGGTTACAAAGATAAACCTTAGCGAGTAATATATGCCTGGCCTTATAATATAAGCACATCAACGAATAATGCGTCTCCAAGTGAAAAAAAAAAGAAAAAAAAGATATCTATTTTGGGCGAAGGACTAAAAATAGTCTCCCAGACTTGACCAAACGAACGTGATGAATATTTCTCTAAAAAGATAAAGGGGAAAAAATACTTAAGAAATATGCAATACCCAAAGGTAATAAATTTGATAAGAAACCAAAACAGTACAAAAGGTTAACAAAGATAGGAACATGCCCGTAGGCGTAAGGCTTTTGAAAGAAATGCTTAAAAAAAAGGCATCGGACGCAAAAAAAAACTTGTTCATTACAAGTTGAAACCTGTATCAGTTTATTACCTTTGGTGTGTGGAGGGTGCTAGTTGTCTCTCCCTTATTAGGATGGTGATGGGTCCTAATTCCATGATATACTCAGCAAACTTATCAATTTTTGTGGTCACATTAACTGTATAATTTCATGTATGTGTTTGTATGTCTGTCACATTTTTGTTTTTTATAGTATTACTAATTTTCCTCCAATACAAGGCCCAAGAAATCGACAAAGTAGACGGTTACTGAATGTGGTGGTTGAATTAATGGAAAGGATATGTATGAAAGATTAGGGTTAATTTGAATAGGTATCTCTCTCTCTCTCTCTCTCTCTCTCTCTCTTTCTCATATATATATATATATATATTAAGTTAGTGCAAAAATAATGATGTAATAATGTCGTTTTTTGACGTATTTTTTAACGTCAAAAACGACATTGTTACGTCATTATTTTTGCACTAACTATATATATATATATTATTTATTTAAAAATATGATTCCAAAATAATTATATTTAAATAAATAATTATATGTATGCTCTACTTTTGTAACGAGCACTATTTTTTAAAAATGATGACAAAAATACTAAAGAACTTTGGATTATTTACCTAACCAGTTCTTTCCTATTTTCTATATATTTTTCACACACACACATACATATATATATATATATATATATATATATATATATATATGTGTGTGTGTGTGTGTACGTGTGTGTATAAGTTTGTCTACCTATGTATATATCTGCCTGTATGTTTGCTTGTCCATCTGGGTGCCTACTTATGTATCTGTATGTCTGTCTATCTATGTATTTACATAGCTATCTATCTGTTTGAATATCTATCGCTCTGTCTGTCTATCTATATATCTGTCTGTCTCTCTATCTTTCTGTTTATCTCTCTGTCTGTCTCTATATCTGTCTATATCTATGCCAATCTCTGTTTATTTATCTCTCTGCATCGCCCTGTCTGCTTGCCTAGTTCTCTCTGCTCGTCTAACTCCTAGATCGGTCTATCTATCTATTTCTATGTGTATGTGTCTGCCTTTCTATATACTAATGTATCTGTATTCTTCCAAAATTAAATTTGATATTTGGATATTTTGTCTTTTAATTTGAAAACTACATTGGCAGTTAGGTCTCATCATTTTACAATTGAAATGGGTTTGATATATCCGTAAAGTCCATGCTAACAGTTTCTTCTCTCGCGCTTCCCGCTTGTGAAGCTCTTTTTCGGCTGCATGCTTTCAAGTCAGCTTTGATGTTAAAAAAAATAATTCAATGTCAGTTGTTTATTACTGTCTCCTTAATTCTTTTTTATTTTGTTGTTTTTCTCTCTCCTTGTTTTTTGTTATTTTCTCATATTCTTTCTCACTCAATAACTTTGCCTCTTATTGACTTTATTGTCCTGCTTGGGGCGGAATGATTAAAAAGAAACTTCATAAGATATTGAATGTGGCCCGGCCGAGAACGATTCATAACACAGACTTGCTGATCACATTTGAAGATTTTTAGCAGACTGTTCTACTTCAAGTATCCAATGAGTCAGCGGATCAGAAGAGTTCTGAATTTGAAATGAATCAATAAACGTTTCTATTTGTTTCTGATGCCCAATCAAATTGGCAAGAGAATTACATTCCTTAAGTGAACTTAATTCCAGTATAAAAAATAATAATTTATTTCTTTTGAATTCTGCTAGCAGTAATTTTTTAACTTTCTTTTAGATTGAAAAATATCCCTAATTTTTTAAAATCTTCTGTAAATATAACAAAGAAAACAAAAATGTTCGCCTTTATCAGAGAAAACGATTAATAACATATCTTCTGAATTTAGGTCTTCAGCTAATATATTAAAGTCAAGTATGTCACCTTGTCTTCGGCTAAATTTTATTTAACACGCATAATTACTAAGAAATATGTGGACATCTGTCTATCTGCATACTTATCTTATGCCTTATTATATATATATATATATATATATATATATATATATATATATATATATATATATTATATTTATATATATATATATTCTGTTTAAGTATGCATTCAACTCAAATATCATCACATGTCAAGGTGAGACTGTGTCTCCCATTGCATTTTAGAATTACAACATTACCGTATTTTTATTATTATTACGCTATAATTATCTGTATTTTTTTTTCTTTATATATTTCATGATCCGGAAAATGTTGTGCCAGATATTTCAGAGGTGCGCAGTGAAGTATCATTTGTCGAAAATATTTTTTTTTAAATTCATACGAAGCTGGTAGTGAGGATATAAGTCAGTGCAATTTGCGAAACAAAAATGTTATACATTACCACACAACGAGGTTTCCAGATATTATTTGCCCAGATACAAAATATTCAAAACACTGACCACAGGGGAAAGAAAACTTTTCTAAAGAATGCACAATATAAACTAATATACTGATACATTCCTCACAAATGTTTATATAAATTTTTATTAAATAATTATCTATTTATATATTATATGCTTATATATATATATATATATATATATATATATATATCATATAGGGTGTGGCAGAATTAACGCCATTTCTTTCGAGTTGAGATGGATAGGACGACAAGGAGCAGTACCAGATCACCAGACCTAACACCAACAGGCATTTTCATGTGGGCTGTACTGAAAGATCTTGTTTACGGGCACATACCGAAAATAATCCTTGAATTAAAACAGGCAATTTCTCAAAAAAAAAAGAAGAATCTAGATTATCGCTGATCACTTCCCATTCAGATGAAGTACCACCTCATTATGAACACCATATTAGTCAATGGCTTGCTGCAAAATGTAGATCGTGCGCTGAAAAGCTCGGTACCATTCAGAAAATAGAAGTTCAAATCACTGTAACATTTGAGGAAATTGGTATTGAACTTTCCAGTCGCTTATGTCTCTCTACCTGCTCGACCGCGATTGCGTATTTATCCCGAGGGAAGTTATGATGAACATTGTAAGAAGACCTTAGTACAGTTCCTTAATGAGTTTACCCCTAAAAATATTTTTATTCACCTCTGTTGTGGCCAGGTAACAACTCTTTGGGACAAGTCGCTGAATTAAACCAACGCTTTTATCCACTGGATAAAAAGGTATTGGTTGAAGTAATCGAGTGCCTTGACCCAAAAAGTTGTGAGTTTCCATAAATGGCCATAGAAGAAGTGAATAGAATCTTGAATAGTTGAGTTATAAAAGGGAGATAACCGAATCTGTGATACCCAGAAAAGGCATGACAGAACAATCTACCCCATTGTATAAATTAGCGGGTTCGTTTCGAAGTTCCAATCACCTTAAGAAGGCTGGAACATCGAGAATATGGCAACAAAGAACAACAGTTCGAACAATATAAATATGTGAATAATAAACGTGTCTTTATATTATTTCTACATTCAAAGGAGACAAAAAACAGAAAAATCTGATGCTCAAAAGAAATCGGGGAGCTTGTGTACTGTGTGACTATGTTTGTCAGTGCGCTCACAACGGAGCTGCGTGTGGATTAGCGAATGTCCATCAAGTCGGGTTACAAACTCCGTACCCAACAAAACTATAAGAATGATTTATATTTTCGGGGCTGATTCAATGATGCAAGTTAAGGTTGATTTTGGGCTTAAAACGTGACCGGCCATGTTTTATAATCGATTCAGTTTCTGGAAGCAGTTCAATAATTGGGATACCCCCAAAAAAGTAGAAAACGTTAAAGGAAATATGCAATTGATGGGGTAAGAATGCAATTTTTTGTACTAAATTTAATTCAATGCAAATCCCGAGTGCCCCGCAAGTTAGAAGATTACAGTCAAAAAAAGGTAATGCTAAATGTGATGTAACAAGAAGAGATAATGATAGGAGATTAAGGTTATTCGAATGACGGGAATTGGTGATTGATTCTTGGCATGGAAATATTAAAATGTAATTGTTCATGGAAGCAACATCATAGGGTTTTGTTTTACAAAGTGGCAGTTCTTGAGAATGAAACTGCGTGGAACATTCCCCTTCTGAATTGGTAAATGGGTAGGATTGAACCCCGTCAGTGTCAGAGTTTCCAAGAACCAGATACTTGAATTTTGGGAACTAAAGAATGGAGCTTATCTGAACATTTTTTGCGAGGGGAGATGTCAAAATGCGATAACGTAGAACGTTATTACACAATGTAATTGAATTTGTAATTATTCCATCATGTATTTTTGATTTCATTTACCTGACACACACTAACACAGAGTCTGACACAATATAAGGAGCCCATACGCGTAAATATGGACCGAAGATAAAAAAAAAATGCCCAATTCTCGCGACCACTGTCATGCTGGCATAGATATTACACAGATTTCATCAATCT